CTAGTGAAAGGAATATGAAGCTGCCCTTTGCCATTCCAGTGTTTAATTTTTCTTTTTAAAGTTTATTTTTATGATTTTATTTATGTGTAAACAAACTGGGGTATAAGCCAGAGATGCGGGGAGTAAGAGGATTCAGCAGAACAGAGAGATCTACTGAAATACACTGCTGAGGGGAGCAGCAGGCAAGACAGAAGTCTGTTGTGCCATGTGGGTTGCTCCCTGGCCATCCAGGGATTGAACTCATGCTACAGAGGCTGTGGATAGCTTCACAGTGCTGCGCTTAACCCACTGTGTCACCAGAGAGGTCCTATTTTTTTTTTAATTTATTTATGCATACAAGAACTGGGGTATAGACCAGAGGTGCGGATAGGTGGGAAGATTCCCCACAGACAAGAGGAGGGAGCAGAACAGGCATATCTACTGAAACACACTGCTGAGGGGAGCAGTGGGCAAGACAAGAAAGGTCTGTTGCGCCATGAAGGTTGCTCCTTGGCCAGCTGGGAATCGAACTGGTGCTGTAGTGTTTCCAGTAGCTTGCTATCGCTTTTTTTTTTTTTTTTAAAGAGGCATGTATTTTATTCATTTATTTACTTGTTTGGTTGGTTTTTTTGGTTTGTTTGTTTATACAAGCACTGGGTACAGTCAGAAGCACGGGAGGGTGAGAGAATTCACCAGAGCCAGAGTGGGGAGCAGAGCAGGCAGAAGGACCGAAGTACACTGCTGAGGGGAGCAGCGGGCAGCAGGAGAGGTCTGTGTGCCATGTGGGACCCTCCTCCGGTGACCGGGGAGCAGCCAGGGATCGAACCGGTACCACAGAAGCCACAGGCAGCTTCGCAACCCAGCGCTCAACCGCTGCGCCACCGGGGAGGCCCTTTTTTTTTTTTTTTAATATTTATTTATGTATATAAGAACTAGGGTACAGGCCAGAGGTATGGGGGGCGTGAGATTCACCAGAGTCAGGGTCGGGTACAGGCAGATTGACTGAAATACACTGCTGAGGGGAGCAACAGGCAAAACAGGAAAGGTCTGCTGTGCCATGTGGGTAGCTCCCTGGCCAGGGATCAAACTCAGTGCTGTGCTGAAGTGGCTGCAGATAGCTTCATAGTGCTGCCTCTTAACCACTGCACCATCAGGGAGGCCCCCTGCTACTTTCTTTTATTCTTTTTCGCCTTTCAATATTTGCTTCCTACTAGTTAACAATTCCTTGTATCACATTTACATTTCCATTGTTCAAATAACTGGTACAATTTCTATCTCCTGACTGATATGACACATACAATCATTTTGTAAAAATTCATTGAAATTTATACTTTAAAATTATCTACTTTTGCATGGCTTATATTTGGTGTACAAAATCAATACATTGAAAAATATGTACCATTGAAAGATAAATGTTTATTATCTCTGTGCCTGTTATAGATTGCTTCTGGCGCATTTTGACAGGGACAATCCATAGTTAAGCAGGGCCTATCTTCTTCTAAGGGTTCAAAGTATTCCACAGTGACCCAAATGCTCTTAATTTGTAGAATAGAGTAGTAAACAGTGGTAAAATAAACAAAAAAATCTATCCCCTTATGGATCTTACATTCTTTTGGTGGTAAGACATTAAGACTAAGGTCTGTTGGGGTGCTGTGGTTACATCTGAGAAGGTGTGAACCTGTTTCCCTAAATCATACACAGTATTATAAACCAATGTTACCTCAATAAAGAAAAAAAAAGACTAAGGTCCATACCCCAGATTTAGCACAGTGCCTTGTTCAACAAACATCTAATCTGGTAAAGCAGTATATGTTGTTGACATACAGTAACCTGGCAAGCTGCTATCCATAAAATGCTTAAACCACATGGGGTTGGCCAGAATGATAGCCTAACCTTGCCAGGCTTCAAAGTTTTTTTTTTTTTTTTTTTTAATGCAGATTACTTTTTACTAGAAGAAAAATCTCACTAGTATCTTGATAACGATGATTTAAAAATTTATGCATACAAGAACTGGGTATAGGGGCCTCCCTGGTGGCGCAAGGGTTAAGACGCAACCTATGAAGCTATCTGCAGCCCCTCCAGCCCGAGTTCGATTCCTGGCCAGCCAGGGAGCAACCCACATGGCACAGCAGACCTCTCCTGTCTCGCCCACTGCTCCCCTCAGCAGTGTACTTTGGTCAATCTGCCTGTTCTGTTCCCCACTGTCTCTGGTGAATCTTCTGTCCCCACTGTCTCTGGTGAATCCCCACCCACCCCCATGCCTCTGGCCTGTACCCCAGCTCCTGTATGCAAAAATAAATCTTAAAAAAAAAAGAACTGGGGTACAAGCCAGAGGTGCAGGGTGTGAGAGGATTCACCAGAGTGGGGAGCAGAACAGGCAGATCTACTGAAATACACTGCTGAGGGGAGCAGCAGGTGAGACAGGAAAGGTCTGCTGCGCCATGATCTCCCTGGCCGGGGATAAAATTCATGCTGCAGTGGCCGGCAATAGCTTGATAGCGCTGAGACTTTAACCCCTGCTCTACTAGGGAGGCCCGATAACTATGATTTTGAAATAATTATGTAGGTAGAGATTTAGTCAATTATGTTTTGGGAGTTGTTCAACAGACAAAGTACACCTAGAGAACATAAAAATTCTTTATTTAGCCTAATTCAGCCAGTATTGAGATAGTTTGCTATATTAAAAACAAGACTTTTAAAAAAATTACAGCACAGTTAGCAAGGCAGTGACTAATTAAGTCACTAAGTTTAATTTTATATTCTTCACAGTCATTTGATAATCATGTAATGATGAACAATATTTTCAGCCACTTTGGAGATAAATGAACTTCTGCAAAGAATTCTATTAGTCATCATTGAATTTTATAAAAGAGGTTTAAAACATTAAAGTTTATCGAAATAACAGAGTAAAGCAATGTGAACATAAACTGGAAAACACAAAATATGCCCACCCGTCCCAGCAGTTTACAGCATCCCTTTATTCTGTCCCCCAATGCCTTTCTTTTGCCTCTTTATTTCCTTTTCCTGGAGCACAAGCAGACTCTAGCAATTGAGAAACAACCGCTGCACTAGGGGGGCTATTTTGAGCCTAAAGTGCCTCTGTTCCTTCCTAAGTTAAATCTTAGAGTTTTCTGAGAAAAGTTATTAATTACATTTCAGAGATGACGAAAACTGTAGCTGAAAGAATGGGAATTTAGCCAAGATTACACATACAATAATTAAAAGCAGAATTAGGAGTTGAACCCAGGTCCATCCAACTTTAGTCAGCCCGTACTTTTTTTTATTATTTCATGGTAGCCTGGGTCACCATTGTGAAGAGACTGGCACGTGCTATTTCTTGAGCTGAGGTTCTTTAGATTTAAAAGTGTTCAGTTCCAGGGCTCGAGGCCACTCTGGTCCCCAGGCACTTGCAGTTCCCTCCCTGCAACTCTAGAAACCCCTCCCACCTGCCCCTGAAGAAATAGTTTCCTAGACTTTCACTAGCCCTCATGTCAATAATCCCAGGCAACTACTTCTCACCCTGGGCATTAAAGTAGTAATGGGGAGCTGTGTGCTTATATAACTTTAGTAAAGGCAGCCTAAAAGCTGTTCTATACAACAAAATTATGTAGGAAATATGTAACATCTTTTAATGTTGAAAATTAAAGAAAAGCCAATATATTTTATAATTATAGCTATATCATCTAAGTTTTAATATATAGTCATAGATTTTGTATTTCCCCTTCAGAACTACAGCAGTGTTCTTAATAGGGCCTGCTGTCAAATCACCCCTTTCTCCTCAGATAATAACAACTTTGAATGTTCAGTAACCATACACATAAACTTCATGTTATAACTCAAGATTAAGACATTTGTATTATAGAAAGGTACCTTTCTTAAATTACTAAATTGCAATCTACCATAGCTCAATCTGTATTTGCTATACTCCTAAACAGAAGTGACCTATTATCAGTAAAGGGAAACATCATTGTCATGCATTAGATACTGTGAACAAGAAACTAGGGCTTTTGGAACTATCTTTTAAAAATTTAACTTTAATTAATGAAACAGCTGTAAGATCTTTCAGACTGCTAAACATTAAAAGGACCACTATTCAGAGTAGCTTAAAATAAATAAATGCTTTTGAAAAATGAATATAAAACTAGTTAAATAGTGATTATTAAGGTGCTAGCCTCATCGAGACAATTAAAGCCTAAACACGTTAGTATTGGTTTTCTTTTAAAATAATACTTAAACCAAAAACAATGACCTCAATGTTTATTCAAGAATTCTTGTTTTCATAATTAACTCCTCACTTACTGTTAAAAAAAACAAAGATCTCAAGGCCTCACCTTGGTTTACTCACTGCTGGTTTTATCTCTTTTGAAACTAGACCATGAACTCTGTAAAAGTAGGAACCTAAATTTGTTTTGCTCACCATTGTATTTCATAGCACTCTGCAGAGTGTCTGGCAAAACAGGAGGTGATCAACAAATACCTGAATAACTGCATCAATGAAAGAGGAGAGTAAAATAACTTTATTGATTTTTTGCAAATCATTCTCTGTGTTCAAACTACTATAAACTGGCAGCTCTAATTTCTAGAAATATGGATTTAAAAACCCCCGTGATGGAAGGATGATGACTCTTCCCCCCCCCCCACAAACAGTAATTAAGACTACATAAGTCAAAATTGCATTATGAACTATGAGATGTCAACATTATATAAATAAAATTTAATAGTGAAAAAGTGATATGGAAGCCCTGTGAATTTTACCCTATACATTTTGGAGGACATCACATGGGTTAAAAAAAAACACAACAAAATTGCATTTGTTCAGATAATTATTTGAATGCTTACATACATTTTTGGTTTGTTATTTAATTATAACTAATTTAATTTACATTTCCTCATATGAACATATACTCCTATTTAATCAAATTATGCCAGTGAGAAAAATCCTCATAGTACCTTCATTGAGTTGAGTTGCTGATTCTAAGAAAACACTTAACATGAACATGTACAAAAGAGGCATTTGAATAAAACAGTATGTGCATTTTTAAATACTTGCACAGTTTGATCTTTACATTTCTGTCTGGAGAAAATATGAACAAAACCCAGGTTTACCATGCTAAGATAATGGAGATGACTGTCATAAAAGAAATACAGACAAAACAATGAAAACAAATCACATCCTCAGGTTCCGTGATTACTGAGAGGATTTCCCCTGCCCTAAGTGCTTTATTATATTTCTTAAAAATATGAGAGCAGCAGTTTATCACAAATCTCCACTACTGTGCATTAATGATGGAATCAAAACAACACAACAGACTTATAAGGATGAGAGGACTGCAGAACAACCAGAGTCACAGTTTTATGCTTCTTCTTGCTCTGGATAATTTAGAATTTTGCGGTGTGCCTGACGTAAATATTGCTGCTGTTTGAAGTAAACCTTGAATGCTCCTTTTATGGCAACAAAAGCAATTCCACCCTAAAATAAAAAGGGAAATTAACAGATTTAGAGGAACAATAAAAAATACAATTTTACTTAAGATAACAAAAGCCATTGACTTTCATGCTAAACTAATTCCAATTACTACAACTGAAGTTTTCTTTACTAGGGGAAGACGGGAAGAGAGAGAACAGAGGTTCACTGAGGCACCTTCCCTGTTATCCCCTCAAGCAATCTTCCAGCTCTACAGCCATTCTGACATAGCAGGGAGAATGCTCCTGTAGTATGTGCAGGCTGCCATCAGAGGGGAGAAACAGGGATAATGATGATGATGATGATATCAAACAACATAGTGCTTACTATGTGCTAGTACTTTCCATGAAATGTCTCATGTAATCCTCACAATTATCCTGTGGTAGCTACCATCACTATCTCCATTCTACAGACACAGAGAAGTCAAGAAATTAAGATTCTCAGCAAGGCATTATTTGTGACAGGATTTGAAGCAGACATCCTGACTCTAGCGTAGACGCTCTTCACCATAATTTTGCTGGCAAAATGGATGGGTGTGATGATTCATACATATTCCAGGAGAGCTATCACCTACAGCAATATTCAGGAAGTACAAAACTACTGCAGGGTATACGCCTCTTCACTGTTATTGGATGTGGGGATCAAATAGAGGCTGAAGGCCCAGGAGTCACAGAATGAATATTTATGTAGTCCCATTGTTTTTTCTTTATTAAACAAATGTGCAGTTCATTATCTTTTGTGTAGTCACTTGAAAAAAAGTAGTATTAAAGCCATCTTACCAAGATTGTCCTTTGTAAATTAGAGTTAACACTACTGAACATCAGTTTACCAACTATAGTCGCAATAGTAGGAAAGACAAGGGCTCCACACAAAATTCGGGTAGCAGAGACATGATCTGCTAAAGGATTAGCCTCAGCTGGAATTCGAGGAACAGGACAACCAATACCTAGAGGGAAAAAAAAGCGTAGAGTATCAATGCTAATAAGTCAGAATAGCTAAAATATATATATATTTATGCATACAAGAGCTGGGGTATAGGCCAGAGGTGGGGGGGGGGTTAGAGGATTCACCAGAGACAGAGTGGGGAGAACAGGCAGACTGACTGAAATACACTGCTGAGGGGAGCAGCAGGCAAGAGAGGAGAGGTCTTCTGTACCATGTGGGTTAGCTACCCAGTGGGGTGATCAAACTTGTGCTACAGTGGCTGCTGATAGCTTCACAGTGCTGAGACTTAACCTCTGCACTACTAGGAAGGCCCTAAAATATCTTTAAGTTAAAAACCCATGCTAGGATTCTTCTACAAGACTAATTGGGCATGCACATTACAATTATAATTCAGGGCCTTACCTGGAAATATACTATTCAAAATCTGTAGTTTATTTGAGTATTTGCGCCATAGTCTAAGTACATAGTCCTCCCAGCGAATCATCTTGCCTAAAATTAGCATGACAGGAATAGTAGGAAGTCCAATTAAAAGGAATAAAGGATCAGCTCTTTCCATAACATCCAGACCTTCTTTATGGCCTACAACCTGCAAACAGATAGCATTTGATAAAATTGACTTCCATATCAAATGAACAGTTGCATGCTTGAGTTCATTTCATTTCAGGGGAAATGTTACATTTCAAAACGACAGAGAAATAGGAAGTTTTAAAAATAAGCTAGAAAGCAATCAGACCTGATTTTATTTGTAAGAAATGTCTGTCATTAAGGAGGAAAAAAGGCTTCCAAGCAATGTCATATTATAGTGGAATGAGTTTTTAAAATGGCTTATCCACATTGATTACATTTCAATAGAGGGGAGAGGACTTTAGGTTATTGCTTCTATTCCCTTAATTTGGTAGAGTCGGCTATAAATGGTAGGTCCTATTTGTCTTTCCAGCACAGCAGCTGTTTTCCTGCTCTTTCTAGGTGGTAAACACAGCCAGCCAAGAGCAGAATTGGCCTTCAAGAGCTAGCCTGAAAACTTCTCTTTGGCTCTGCCTCCTGACTCAGTGGTGTTTGGATTAGAATAAGATCTCTCTGGCTTGTTAAATACCTGCTTTATAGACTTAACTCACCTAAAATGCAATTCCAAGATCTAAATTTAGGGGACTGCAGTAGGAGGTTCACATTTGATTACAGCAGTCAATTTTCCAATTCAGGAACCCTAGGGTAACCATTCTTATGGCTGTAAAGATAAAAACCTTTCCCCCCATCTGGAATTTGAGGCTATTTTCCAATTGGTTTAGATCCCAGAGGGCAAGAAGGACATGATCCGTAATTGTGAATCTCTATGCTTCCCCTCCCGGCAAAATTCTTTTCACTTACTGATTAATCTTAAACTTCTCTCAATATTTTCATTTTGTTGGTCAACAACTTAGTTTTAGAGAATCTCCCTCAAAATTCTCTTCCAAAGGTCTCAAATGATTTTTCTTTAGCATAAAGTCTCAATTACTTGAAAATTAAACATATTTCTCTGGGATTATTCCTGGCAGTTATGTCAGGGAGAGATTACTTCAGAATCTTGGGCTTTTAGACCACTCAATCACATAATGAAGTGACAGTTTGATAGGAGGATACTACTGTAAAGAACTCTGTAGTTTTTCTGATCACACTTGAGAAATAAGCTAGGAAGAAAGGGTTGAAAAGGACCTTCTCAATGTTTATGATAGGCAGGAGGGAAAAAGAAGGCAGAGGAAGCAATGAGGGAAGAGGAAAGAAGGTAGAAGACTAACAGCTGCTGGGGACCATATATACTCAGGAGAGCAAACTGATGACAAGATAAATGGGATTTAAAAACAAAATGAGATGCCCTTTCTGTCAGTTATTAGAGCAGATTTTTTTCAGATGGACTACAGATGTGAAATAAGGTCAAGAATGTCAGAGCAAAATAGGCAAAGCAGGCTTGATCTAGGTAAAAATATTTTATGAATGTAAGTGGAGAGAACTAAAATAGGTGTTCTTTAAAAAAAAAGATTTATTTATGCATACAAGAGTTGGGGTACAGGCCAGTGATTGGGGGGCGGGTGTGTGAGAGGATTCACCAGAGACAGAGTGGGGAACAGAACAGGCAGACTGACTGAAATACACTGCTGAGGGGAGCAGGGGTGAGACAGGAGAGGTCGGCTTCACCATGTGGGTTGCTCTCTGCCCAGCTGGGGATCACACTTGTGCCGCAGAGGCTGTGGATTACTTCATGGTGCGGTGCTTAACCCCTTGCGCCACGGGGAGGCCCCTAAAATAGGTGTTCTTTAAATTTCAGCTAGGGATATAGTTCAGACTTGAACTTGGTTAATTTATCTAGCCAAAATAACATTAAAGGTCAGGAGGCTAGCCTCTCCTAATGGTCAAAAACCATGGTATCAGTATTGATGTTCTTCTGTATCTCCAGGTAGAAACTTAACTTCACATTTTGCATAAAGAAAGGTGGTCGTTTTAAGTTGCCTCATGGTGAAATACTCTGGTTAACAATATTTTATAAACTCCAATCCCACACAAAAGTGTATTAGCCTAGAGATTATCTTTAACTATAGTGCCTTTCCATGCCATTCCTTTTATGTAACTTTTATTGTTTTTATATAGTGATCACCTTAAAGCTATAACTAAATGTGATGTAAATTCTCTCAAAGTGTTAGCAAATAAACATAGAAACTTGAAAATTTCCTTTGTTGCATAATGTATTCTTTTTTATGAGTTTAGAAATATAAAACAGTGAATATTCAGATGTGGACTACAGTAAAATAAAGTTTATACCCTTTCAGGGGTAGCAGAAAAAAAACTTTAATACCAGATTTCCAAGAATGAGGAAAAAAAAGAGAAAAGAGGGCAAAGAGAAAGCAAAGGTTCACTGTCTCCCTTATTGAAGCTAAAGTGGAGAGATGCCTTATGCTCAAGCTGAGGCTCATCATGCATGTATTTCAGGCCAGATACAGGCCTAGTTGCTGGGGATAAAGTGATGAGCTAAATAGATGTCTGGTGAGGTATAATCAAATCAATCAAGTGTGCAAATACAAATGCTATAAAGCAAAGGGGATGTTAATACATTTGTATAACACTACCTGTTATCACATTCAGACTCAAGGGCAAAAAATGAAAGCTGAATTAAGCAATGGTGCTGATTTAACTGTTGACACAAAACCAGTGAACCCTGTGTACTAGTTCATTGGTTCATTGTACATTCTGGTTTTATAACAAAATTGAAAGAACATTATTTTTAAGACTTCACTTTTGGAGATTAAGAACTATAGAACGTCTTCTTTAAGACTTTATCTATATATACAATAAAGACTACTCAATTGTGGATTTAGAGAAAAGTTTGTTTTTCTAAGAGTTAAAAACTAGCTCTTCATATCCAGTTAAGATAAGCATTTCAACAATGCTGAAAGGCTACAGATTTTAATTTAGATGTTATCTTTTAAAGCACTGCCTACTAAACCCTACTTTTAAATGGAAGGAACAGTGATGAACTAACAGATATTCTTAGTCAGAAGTAAGGATAATTAAGTATAGAGTAATTAAGAATGGACAATGCTGATGGTGGTTATCTTCACAGTAAGAGGTAGAAGTGAAATTAGGTTGGATATTAAATTTCTGCTGTTCCAGGATAAAATGTTCAGCTGCCTTTGGGACTGCTTTCATTTAAGGAGTCCTAGAATAGGTACAGGAATCCTAATGCTTCTTTTCTGCTCTGTGGCACGGGGCATAAAAACTCTCCAAACTTGAAAACTAGAAATAATAATGTCTATGTCAAAAGATTGTTGCAAGAAATAACTGCATCAGTACTAGAAAGGTGCTCAACCCAGTGCCAGGACAAAAAAGTTATCTATTATGCTGTCTTTTTTTTTTTTTTTTTTTTTAATAGAGGCATGTTTATTTATTTATTTATTTTGTTTGTTTGTTTGTTTTGTTTATACATGCATTGGGTATAGTCAGAAGCGCGGGAGGGTGAGAGAATTCACCAGAGCCAGAGCGGGGAGCAGAGCAGGCAGAAGGACCGAAGTACACTGCTGAGGGGAGCAGCGGGCGGCAGGAGAGGTCTGCGCGCCATGTGGGATCCTCCGCCAGTGGCCGGGAAGCAGCCGGGGATCGAACCGGCGCCGCAGAGGCCGCGGGCAGCTTCGCAACCCAGCGCTCAACCGCTGCGCTACCGGGGAGGCCCTATTATGCTGTCTTTTTAATAAAAATGTAAGTGGAATGTCCCACTCAAGTTCCCCACAATTAACAGGGATTGAACCTTCAGACTGTTTAACAGAGAAGGAAAGGGAATAGAAAAAGAATAGTGGTCTAATTCCTTAATCTAATTTGCTTCAGATTAGTCAGAGACCAAAAGGGAAGAAACTGTGAAGTGTTAAAAAAAGCAAACCCTAAATTCTGTTGATGGTGTTATGGGGCATATACCCTATCCTGCTCAGGCAGTAAAAGGCTTTCCGCTACTCTTAAATCACACAGCAAAACCTACTCACTGCACAGCTGATCTCATTTTCTAGGTTAAGAAAAACACTTTCAATGTACATGCAAAATTTAGTCTAAACGGTGACATGTAATATATGTGTTTTATAATTTGAGGCTATCTTCTTTATTGTCATGATTAACCCGCATGTTCATTCTTGTCTCCTTGCTGGCAGCAGTTCCTTCCCATTACCAATCCAAATTATTTCCTTTAAGGTCAGCTCAAGACTTTTTTCATGATTTCAAATGGTATTTCATTTCTACGATATTAAAACATGCTGTGTCTGTAGTTCTTAGTAGTCTATCTATATAACCTCACAACTTTTCTAGTTGTTCATCTATATACACCTTGTCTTAAGGCTTTATTTGAAGTTCAATGATCAGGGCTTTCAATTTGTTTTTTACTTTATATAGACCTCAGCTCAATCTGAATTTTTTGAAAAAAATCATACCAATATCGTTGAAAATGCCAAAATATAGCTGGAAACTGTTTAGAAGATACAAACTATATTTCTTAATAGGGTCCTGTTGAAGTATCCTGTTAATTACTAGAATTCTTTTCTTTTAGAATTGAGCTAGCCTAGAAACTTTTCCTCACCTCTTACAATTAATTAGATCTTAAGAGAAATCATTCAATCTCTTAGGAGCTTAGTTTTCTCATCTGCAAAAAATATAAGTCTATATAACCACATTTGTACATTAAACAATGTATGTGTTATCTATTCTATCCATTCATGTCTGTCAGTCCCAGTGAATCATTCTGAACTGCCTTGACCTAGTGATATACTGATATTCATTTCATTACTGAAGTTTAACAAATTATTGCAGAGAATATAATCAAACAAACCTGTTACTAAGAACCATCATATTAAAAAAATTAATATTCATTGAAGTTTTTTAAGTGTTAGTCTGTGTATATGTCATACAGGAAAAACATCAATATAAGATATTCTCTACTTTCTAGAAAATTACCCTCCAACAGCAAAAGTACGGTCTAAATATAAGAAATTAAATAATTCAGGTAAACTATATAATATAATCTGGTTAGCACATTAGCTACCATTAAGGAATAAAATGTCATGAATACAGAGGAAGAAAAAAATCACAGTGGGCAGAAGTTAAGTTTCATGGAATAAAATATGGTTGAACTGAGTACAGAAAGAGGGTTTAGATTAGGTAACTTGGACTGGAAAGACAGGTTTTTCAGGCAGGGAGCATGACATAAGCCAAATGACAGAGGTAAAAAACTAAACAACATAAGGATGCACTGGAGAGACAGTGCCAAAGGCTCAAAGCAGAATGAAGTAATCTGCTTAACAAATCAGGTTTAAAAAAAAAAAATCTTTTTCTAGTAGTTCTTAGTCTTTACTACACTTACGACAATTGAGGGATTATTATATGTGTGATTCATTGCAGTGATTATATCCAGATTTCTGGGGTGTCATCAACATTAAAATAAAAAGTCTTGGAATACTGTTTCACCATACTATTAAGCAACTAGAAAGACTGCTTGGTATGGACCTTGGCATAGAGAGGTAATGTGCAATTTCTAGAATACTACCTATAAATCCTTTTTTCTTCCATGTACTCTTTTACATTGAAGAAAAATTATGTCACCTACAAACATAAGTGTGTCAAGTATTAGAATTACTTATGAAACACTTAACCAATCTAGGTGCTGCTTTTGAAAGCAACTAGTTAGGCAAAATAGATGGTAAATTTGGAGTGAGATACTGATGGCATTATTTTAGGAAGATTCATTTGGAAGAGTGGCATGATAGAAAACAATCAAGAAACTGCTTTCGCTATTCAGGTATGATGGGGGAGTAACAAGAAGTCAGGTGGTAAATACTGTGGAAAAGAAGCTGTAGCTATAAAACATTGAAATTGCTTGGGCTTAGTGGGGTAGACATAAAACTAAGAAGCAGAGTTAAAGGTGATCTTAAGAATGTCAAGTACAAATTAAGAGATGGGAGAATAGTAGGAATAAAAAATACAGCAAAATTAAAATGGGGGGAAAATTCAGGTTTCAAATTGAGGAAAAGAGAAGTTTAATTTCAGCGATACTGAGTGTGAAGTCACAAGAGGTCATTCAGAAAGGTCAAGCTGCTTTTGCAGGAGTGAATTTGGAAAGATCAGCACAAAATACTTAGATTTGAAGACAAAAAGCACAAGGATGATAGCTAGAAATCTTTAAGGAAGAGGTTTAAAGAGAGAAGAACTTTATCTTGAAATTTAAGTCTCCCTAATCTTTCTCAAAGGTTACTGATTGTACCATTGTTTTGTAATAGCAAAAAACTGGAAGCAACTAATTGTCTAATCAACAAGAGACTGGTTAGTAAATTGTTTTAGCTCTATACATAGAATGCTATATGAAAAACTCTCCAAGATTCACTGTTTGTGCAAGAGAGACAGCTCTAATATGCTTTTCTGGGGTCTTTTTGTTTATTTTTAATTTTTTTTCTCTATCTCTAACTTGCTTGCTTTTGGGTAACAAAAAAGTGTGAGAATATATTCATTTTTTCTTGTATATGTGCAACAGATTATCTGGAAAAATATGTATGAAACTACTAATAGTGGCTATGTGGGTGGGCATGGGTGGGGAGAGGGAACTGGAACAAATGAAGGATGGAAGTAAGATGACTTTTAACTAGATAGTTTTCTATATATCTTATTTTTAAGTTATCAGAATGTTCACACTTGTTCAAAATAGTAACTTTAAAACTTCTAGTAAAAATCTATTTAGTAGATCTCCAAATCAAAAGTAGTATCATTGAATGCAGTAAAAATAATGAACCTGCATCACTGTCACTGCTCCGTAAGTCACAGCTGTCCAATAGATAGAGCCAACCATTATTCCTGCTGCTGCAAATGGGCAGGCTTTTGAGATCAGTCTATCTGCAAGATCCAAGACGTAAACAACTGGACCTATAATACAAAGAGAACAAGTAAAGTTTCAGCAGAAGACAGATTTTAAAAAAAAATACTTGTTTAATATTTTCCATAGATTTAAAATACCTTTATGAAGTCAGATGTTCTTATGCTTGAGAAATAACTTCTGTAAATACGATGGGTACCTAGATTTGAATAGTCTTACTTCTAAATTCTAGGAAATAGCCTCTTCAAATTTATTGGTAAATCTAGCATTAAAGTCTCAAACACAACTGCTTCTTATAAAGGACATAATTCTCTCACTTCTATCTCTTAATAACACTGGCTACTGCAAAATGAGATGGCCAAGTCAGCCTACTCTTCCCAAAAAGTTCCGGCCATAGTTAGATTTGCTAGTACTTGATAAAAGTATCATTTCTATGACTTCACTCATTACATCCTTGGTACAGTGTATGTGAAGGTAGCCACAGTTACTTTCTTTTAGTTATACAAAGCGAATCTATCTTAGATTTTTAATATATGTTATTTAGTTGGGTATTATTTCCTAACAGAGTTCTTTAATTGATCATGATGCCAGTTTTTATGGCATTGTAACGTTATTTGTGCCAGTTAAGCTTCTACTACTATATACTGTCTGTGAAATTTGGTACTACTCCCTCTGGAAGTTATTTGGAATAGCTATATTTGGAGGTATTCTACCAACTGCTACAAAACCCAATATAATTTAACTCCAAAATTTTCCAGAATGGAAGGATTCCAGGCCTAAATTTGTTGCAAGACCTAAAGAATTGAACATGTAAGTTTAACCAAAAGCATATGAAACCTTGATTTAGTAACCATCATTACTTGTTAAATACCACCTACATACAAACTATTACTTGTCACATTTCTTTAGACATGTATAAAACTTATTACCTACCTTCTGGGGATATAAAATCTACAGGAAGATGTTGTATACAAAACTATTTTCACTGTACAAAGAAATTCATGTTAGCAATATAATGATAAAATAATTAAACATAAAGAATAACCATTCATCTATGGAGTCCCTGATCAAAGAGATAGCCCATTGTGAAGTAGAAAGAACATTAGGAGAGACATCAAAGGACCTGTGAATTAAATTGATCATATTTCATATTACTGTCAAACTTAATATTTAAAATTGTAATGTATCTTTTAGGGCAAAAGATATAAAGTAAACTTAGTTCAGTGCATTCTGATTCTAAATCCTCTAGTAACAGCATTTCTTGAGTGTCTACATGAATACCAGGTGTGTCTACTATGCCGCAAACATTACATGAATCATGTAATCTCATAATGTAAGTTTGTTCCTTAAAATATACATCTTAGTTTGTCACCTTAGTTTGTCACCAAAGGTCCCTCAAGTACTTGTAGTATAGGTTTGTAAGTTAAAAACCACAGGTTTATGGGCCTCCCCAGTGGCGCAGCGGTTGAGTGCTGGGTTGTGAAGCTGCCCGCAGCCTCTGCAGCGCGGGTTCGATCCCCGGCTGCTCCCCGGCCACCGGAGGAGGGTCCCATATGGCGCGCAGACCTCTCCTGCCGCCCGCTGCTCCCCTCAGCAGTGTATTTTGGTCCGTCTGCCTGCTCTGCTCCCCGCTCTGGCTCTGGTGAATTCACTCACCCTCCCGCACTTCTGACTGTACCCAGTACTGGTATAAATAAATAAATCTCAAAAACAAAACAAAACAAAACCAAAAACACAGGTTTATATAAAACCTCAATTCTTTCCTATAGTTTATCGATAATTCTTTAATCAGAAAGTTGAAGGCAGAAGAGAACATCCAGCACATGTCCCCACTTACCAACATCACACCTATCTGAAGTCAATCCCTTCATTCATACAGATGCCATCCCCTCACCAATTCAAATCCACAGCTCCAGCAATTCTCTCCTACTCTTTATTGGACTATTCCCATACACCATTATTTCTTCTATTTAAAACAACAACAAAGTCTTCTCTAAATCCTTCTTGTCCCACTACTACATTTCCTTTTTACAATAAAATTCCTCGAAAGAATTGTCTGTATTCACTTTCTCCCACAGTTTTGTCTTGAACCAACTCCACAAAAAACTGCGCATCAAGATCACAAACAGCGTCCACATACGAAGTACAATGGTGTAACCCACTGGTGTTCCTTTTATTTGTACTTCATCTTCCCAACATATGATTTTTCATTACATTTCCAGGATGTCACCAACTCTTGGTTTTCTTCCATCTCACTAGTTACTCACTTTTCAGTTTCTTTAGCTGACTCCTTTTCTTTCTCACCTCAGTGAGGTTGACCTCATCATACTCCCTACTGGATTACTCTACTCTATTCCCGCCCCACCCTCCCAATTGTTGCCACTTAACATACACTGATTTACATAGTAATTCTGTTTCCACTTACTAGAATAGGGGTTGGAAAACTATCACCCACGCATGTGCCAAATTCAGTTTGCTGCCTTTTTATTGTAAATAAAGGTTTACTGGAACATGGCCATATGCAATGCCTAAAATGTTTAGTTTTCTTTTTTAACAGAAAAAGTTTGCTGACTCCTGAATTAGAATATAAACTACAAATGGAAAATAACCTTTTTGCTAGAGGAATCAATGTTCCTATTACTCTTCAGAATTTGCTGCATTCTCTAGGTATTTCTTTAAAAACTATGATCTAGATCTTCCTTTTACATCAAAATCAACCCAAGTTAAAATACTATTTTTCTACCAGTTACAATCAGAATTTATAAGATATGTGCTTCCAATATACCTTCTTCCCTCCTCTTTTCAACTATCTACTGTTAGTATAAGCAGTGTAATTTAGAAAAAAAAAATAAAATAATTGGTAGGATAAAAATATAATTCTTAAAAATAGTCCATCACTACTACATTTATCTATCATGAACACAATCTTTAGATGTTTGATTTGTACTTCCTTGAAAGATCTCAGAAGGTTCAAATATAATGAGCTCAATTTCTTCCTGAATCATTGGAATTCTTTTTGTATAAGCAAAAACAAATGAATGGGGGAAAAAAAATCCTCACTTCCTTTTGGAAATTTCCTACTTATCCCTTGAGTCACATGCAAAAGATGTGCTAGATAAAATGAAGACAATGGTTACATTTTATAGCCCCCAATTCCAGTTTTTCTGGCAAAATTATGTCTAGACTTTCTTTTATTCCATCTAAATTTGTCAAGGCTTTTCTAGTTAGATGACTCCAAGAATAGTACATATTATTAGAATAATAAACTGCCACACAAGGTAGATATTTCTGAGAGCTAAAGATTATCTAGACAAGCTATTTTGTGAATAAGAACAGTCAGTGAAATTCTATGGATGACAGCACTATCTCCGAGTGACTTCCTAGAAAGTTTATTATATCCCATGGCTTAGGTTAATAGAAGGAAAACAACAACAGTCACTATATTCTTTTTTTGTCACACTACAGTATAGAGAGTTATGGAAAGTGAAGAAGCAAGACTCTAGTCCTTGAAAACCCCAATTCTATGGGGAGAGAAAAAGTATGATTAAATGCACCTCACAAGCTAAATATATAAGGGTATAAAAAATTAAAATATTTTTAACAGTTACTACTGAATTTTATTTATTTTTAAAAAGATTTATTTTTATTTATTTATACATACAAGAACTGGGGTGCAGGCCAGAGGTGTGGGAGGTGAGAGGATTCACCAGACAGAGTGGGAAGCAGAAGGCAAGACAGGAGAGGTCTGCTATGCAATAAGTGGGTTATCTCCCTGGCTGGAGATCGAACTCAGGCCACAGCAGTAATAGTGTGATAGCACTGAGACTTAACCCTTATGCCACCAGGGAGGCCCTACTGTTGAATTTTAATGCCTCAGTGGACATAACCACTTATGTTTTGAACAATACTATATTTATGGATGGCAATGGATAGCAATTGAAGAAAACTTACATAAATTTTGGAAACTTACAATCAAAAGGAAATCTTTAGTACCATAAAGAAGTTTTTGTGAAGAAGATAACTACCTCCTAATGTTTTGGGTAAAATCAAATTTTCATATTTCAGATTTGAGTAACATCAAACAGTGAGCTAAGAACTAGGGAAATTCCTAAATTATGTCTAATGAAAAAGAAGTAATCAGTCTTATCTGTCAGACACAATAAATGAATGAATAATACTGAAGTGTTCAACAACTGCCATCACTACTTACAATAATACCTAGAACTCTCAAGATCTTTTTTGCTGGCATAGAAAGGTATCAAAAACATCTTTGGCCAATTCTTGAAAAATAATTTATGCTGCCAGAGTGTGTATTTCCTACCATAGAACAAAATTCAATGAGCATATATAGGTGCTTCACAATGTAATCCTGTATAAGTTACTGAGAAGATTACAGCTCCCATGAACTCCAAGGTTTCTGTTAGGTGGTCAGTGATTTATAAAAAATATTTAACAAGCAAATAGACTGCCTGCAGAAGCTGCTCAAATTTCCAGGTTCTTTTTGGGGGGCTTGCTTTTTTGCTTTGTATTGAACTAGCTTTGACCTAGACCAAAGTCAAATGCCAACATGATAAGCCTAAACAACAATACCTTGAGATTTAGAATCATTCAGAATAGCAGTTTGGAGGCCATCAAAAGTCCAACGATACAGTTTTAAACTTCTCTCCTTGTTTCAAGTCTTTTTGTTGCATACATTATCTGGCATGTCCTAGCCTTACTTTTAAGTCTGTATGAAAACCCAACTTTGCAATGCAAACTAACCTAACCTGATAGAGGCTGACTAATTATTCTACCCCACCCTGTCCATGTCCCATGAGGCTTCCTTCACATACTATCCCACAAAATGCACTTACCCCTTTGCTTGTGCATAATGTTAGTACTTTATGCTCTTGTTCAATGTTTGTTCAGTTGTCTCAGTATCCTTTATGTCTGTCCATGTCAGCATCATCTTAGATTGAAAACTCCCAGGGGGCAAGGGCCATTTCTGTTTAACTCGTTTTGTACAGTGCCTAGGATAGAACCATGTACAGATAGGTGCTTAAAAAATGCT